GCGCGAGAGCTCAAACATGGCGACAGTTACAGGAATTTGATGACCGCTTCGGATTAGTAACATGATCCGCGGGCCCCATAGGGAGGGGGCTCCCGCTTGAGACTTCCTCGCAATTCACTCACAAATGTGGCCTGGGAGTGGCGTTCTGGCAGCGCGAGAGCCCAACAATGACGGCAGTTACGGAAATTGGATGACCCGCTCGGATTAGTAACATGATCCGCGGGCCCCATAGGGAGGGGGCTCCCGCTTGAGACTTCCTTGCAATTCACCCACAGACGAGGCCCAAAGCGAGTGAGTGAGTGAGTGACTGACTGACTGACTGACTGGTGATGATGATGATGATGATGATGATGATGATGATGATGATGATGATGATGATGATGATGATTATGATGATCATCACACTCCATCACGTGCGCACTCATCATCATCATATGTGAGTGCTGATGAGTCAGTGAGTGAGTGAGTGAGTGAATGCGTGAGTGTGTGAGGGATGATGAGTGAGTGAGTGAGTGAGGAATGAGTGATGATGATGATGGTGGGTTCATGTTCCTGCGCGGGGTGTCCAGAGAAAACAAGAACCCCACTTTGGATGTGGGGAAAACTACCAACAATGATAATACAACGCATAGATTCGTATTTACCCCGGCCGAAATATTTTCCTCTTGGGACCCACATTACGGAAGCGACGCGCCATTCAATTGAACGAATACATGTACCGCCCTCCTCGTGCCTCCTCCCTTCTCCTTCCCCTCTCCGTCCTGGGAAAACCACCTTCCCCCGTGTAGTCATAGCTTTGGTCAACAGAGCCGCAGTTCCGTGGATAACATGAGGCTTCGCGCGCGGTGCCCCGCGGATCCCATGTCCCCTGGGTCCGGGATGTTGATGATTATTATATATTAATCGCTTCGCTCATTCCGCCGGCCCATGTTGTCGCACCGTTGTGGGCTAGCCGAGTTTTGGGGCCTCTTGGGGGCCGTTTTGGGGCCTCTTGGGGCCTCTTTTGGGCCTCTTGGGCGCCTCTTGGGGCGTCTTGGGGGCCTCTTGGGGGCCTCTTGGGGCCTTTTTGGGGCCTCCTGGGCGCCTTCTGGGGCGGAGGGCTCGATTTTTCAGTTCTCGGTTCCCCTCTTGAGCCCCTCTTGGGCCCGTCTTGGGGCCTCTTGGTCCGTCTTGGGCGGCACTTGGGCCGTCTTGGGGGCCCTCCTGGGCCGTTCCGGGGCCGTCTTGGGAGCCTCGTGGGCCGTCTTGGAGCGGTCTTGGGGGCCTCTTGGGCCGTCTTGGAGCGTCCGGAAGCCGAAAAAGCCAGAACGCAAAAAACATCGAACAAAAACAATGAAAATCAACGATTTTGGCCTCTTGGGGCCCTCTTCGGAGGCCTCTTGGAAGGCCCTTGGGGCGTCTTGGAGGCCTCTTGGGCTGTCTTGGGGCCCTGTTGGGCGTCTTCGGGCGATCTTTGGCCGTCTCGGGGCCCTCTTGGACCGTCTTGGAGGCTTCTTGGGGACCTCTTGGCCCGTCCTGGGGCCCTGTAACAGGGCTCCGGCATCTCTGGCCCGACCTTGCCGGGACCTTGCCGGGGACTTGCCGGGACCTTGCCGGGGTACTTTTCGTCCGGGGACCCCCAGGGGCCGCCCCGCGCGCGCGAACTAGAAATACTGTTAACCAGGTACCGGAGATCTTAGCACGCCCTGGCCGGTTGGGCCGGCGAATTTACCCGGCAAATATTTTTTTTTTTTTTTTTGTTTTTTGTTTTTTGTTTTTTTTATTTTATTTTATTTCATTTTATTTTATTATTAGAAAAAAAAGCGGGAAATTGGATCCGCGCAAAACAAAAGTATGGTCCACGACATTGTCGCACACCCGACACGGGATCCAATCGGATCCGTCGGTGTTCTGATATCTTAGTCCCAGAGGACAAATTCTCCGGCTTGGGGATGTAACAAGCATAAAAACGAAGCTAACGACAAGAAAAATATCACGACTAATCTCAATACGCACTTTTACCAATAATATTATGATTAATTGTTGTCGCTTCGCGAATCCCCACCAGCCCATCCAGAAACGATGCCCAGAGGAATTGCCTCGATCAGAGGAGTGGGCAGCACACAGAGGAAGCCATTATGAGACATCTTGGGATATCTTGAGCCATCTTGGAGGTCATTTTGGGCTCTCCCAGACGCTCTTGGAGTCATCTTAATCCGTGCCCCCCCCCAAGAGGCCTCCATGTGGCTAAAACCTGTGTAGAATCAATGATTAGGCATTCTCGCCGAGGCCTCTTGGAGCATCTTGGGTGCATCTGGGGGGGCTCTTGGGGCCTCTTGGGGGTCTCTTGGGGGCCTCCGGGGGGCCTCTTGGGGGCCTCTTGGGGCCATTTTGGGGCCATCTTGGGACCTCTTGGGGCTTCCTGGGCGCTTCTTGGGGCCATCTTGGAGGGAGTCGATCAAACAAGAGGGGGGGGTGAATTAGCGTCCCCCCTCGGAAGCCCCTAAAATCGCCTCTTGGA